TCCCTGTGTTTGGTTGGGTGAAACCTCTTTGGGAGTTTTCTACCTTTGCCTCCAATGAAATCTTTGCAGGGGAAGGGTTTGTTTGGTTTCAAATGTTGCTGGTTTCCACAGTGGTGGGACAGAGGAGGAGAGGCCCCTCAGGGAGAGGCCATCAGGGGGAACTCCGTGTGTTTCTCCTGCTTAGTCCTGCCCTTCAGCTCTGCAGCAGCTTCTGCTTCTCAGGTTGAGCAAGGCTCTTGTTTCAAGTGAGTTGCACTCTCCTAGGTGAGGATGACAAGCTGATCCTGTGTGATGAGTGTAACAAGGCCTTCCACCTGTTCTGCCTGCGGCCGGCGCTCTACGAGATCCCCGATGGGGAGTGGCAGTGCCCAGCGTGCCAACCCTCCACTGCCCGGCGCAGCTCCCGGGGCAGGTGAGTGACCCCCTTCCCTCTGAGTCACACTCCCAGCCCTGCTTTCACAGCCTGATGCAGAGCCCCTTTGAAAGGTTTGAAATCACCCACTTAAAACTTCACTGGAACAATAGAAAAGCAGTTCTGTCAGGCTGGAAGTTTAGTACCTCCGTGTTGTACTGACCCGTGGCAACTTCAGAAGTTTTAATAAATCACTTGTGCATGTTTTCACTGCCAAACACAAAATACCCACCAAATTCAGCTGCATTAAGGGCTCTTGTTTCCTTTGAGCTGCTAGTGGGTTGGTTTTTCATGGGATTGGTAGCACTGCAGCTCTGTAGGCCCCTGGGCTGAGTTACTCAGGTGTTCCTGTAAGAGCAGACATCACTCCAGGCTGCTCAGTCCCTGCTCTACTGCTACAGACCAGGCCACAAAATGCCATTCTGATGTTTTTTTGGGCCTGATAAACCTTAACAAGATATGATCACCTTATAAACTGACAGAGAGAACATGATTTGAGGAGGATTCAGGGTTGCTCTGTGCAGCAGAAATGAGTAGTTGCCTCCTGATTGTTTTTTGAATTACAAGCTGGCAGTTAAGCATTTTATAGTGTATGTCCTGTGCTGATGGTGACTGTGCTGCATCTCCCTGTCAGCAAGGTGAGGCTATCAAATAGCACCTGACACAGAAGCAGCCAAGATCCTCCCTCACAGAGCAACAGCATAATAGAGGTGTGCTAGCTTGTACTGTGCAGGTGGTATATGGCCTTAAAAGTATTACTTACTCCCTGGGCACCATTTAAGAGTTCCTCAGGCTTGTACAGAAATGACAGGGCTTAAAGGCAGCTGCTCTGGCCTGAGACCATAGTTACTTTGATGTGGCAGAGTCACCTGCAAGCTGCTCAGCCCTGGACCAGAGCCATCAGGTGGGGAACACCTGTCCTGTTATCTGCTTTCTGCTCTTGTCTTCCCAGTTAAGGCAGGAAAAGAATGTCAGCCTGGGAGATCTTTTACCCTACTTGTGCTGTGGGAGTTTATTCCTTTTACTGCTCAAGATCCTCTTTCTCCAGAGGACTGAGACCCCCACAGCAGCTTTGTCTGTGTCCCCTTGTGCCTGCACATGCTGGTTTGTTCTCCTGGTTTTTAATGCTTCGTGTGATTTAAGAGACACAGGTGAGAAGTCAGAACTGTGCTGAGCAGGGAGGCTGGGTGGCTTCTGACATCAGCATGGGAGGAGCCTGATGCTCTGCTCACCAATCTCTTTCCTATACTACAGGGAAACCAATCTGTTTCCCATAGTATAGGGAAAATGTTCCAGCAGGAAACCCTCTCCTGTTGAAACTTCTTAGGCCAGACCTGGGTAAAACAGCAGCTTGTTCTCTCAGGATGGAGTAAGTGCACAGCAGTCACTGTTATAAAATCCATCGTCATATGGTCATGGTGCTTAGAACACTAAGAAATACCTTGATTCAGCTGTTGGGGATTTTCAGCCCAGATGTTCAGCCTGGGAAGTGTCCTTTGAGCTGTAGCTACAGCTGGATACTCTCTGGAATACAGCAGACTGCTTCAGGCTGGGGCTGTTGTACAGTCCAGACAGTAGCAGGGCCCAGGGCTGCTGATGCCCAGGGTCTGGTACCACAAACAGTTTACCTGCCTTACTTTAGGACCTGTGCAGAGGATTCTGCTGAAGATGAAGGGGAAGAAGGTGAGGAAGCTTCTGATGAACCAGATGCTGAGGAGGAAGAGGAGGAAGAAGAAGATTATGAAGTTGCTGGACTGAAATGTAAGGCTTTGACCATGCAGGAAACTAACAGAAAATATTAAACCTCTACTTGCAGTGTCCAAAGTATTGGTCCTATTTGGGACTTGTGCTTTTCCTCACTCAGAGTAAGTGAAGCAGTGGGAGATATTACAAGGGGAAGACTTGTGCAGTGGTTACTTGGGGAGCTGGAGTGAACCCTTGTCCTTTGTGACGGGGTCAGTGCTAGCAAAGATTGACACTGCATGAGCTCTCACTGCCCAGTCACTCCCTGGGGACACTGATAACACAGTTCCAAGGGCTGGGAGAGGTCAGCAGAGGGGACAGCAGCACCAGCAGTTCCTGGGATTGGCAGGCTCTGTGCCTACAGGGTTTGTTGATACACCAGAGGCTGTTAAAAATGCTTGTGGAGTTCTAATCACAGCCCACTCTCCTTGCTTTTCTCCTTCCCACCAGCTCATAACCCCTTAAGCGCAGGAGTTCTAGTGATTTGGCAAGGAAGCATTTTGAAACAGGAAGACTGGCCCTTCCTCTGCTTATTCCAGTGGGAAGGCACAGTGCTCCAGGTGTAGTGTGGCCTAGACCACCAGCACCCTTTGGTTGCATAGAGAGACCACTTGGGATGCATAGCTGGAGCATTTCTGGGCAGCTGAATAGAGTAATCAAGGGTTTTCTAGACTCCTCAATGGCTGCTTCTCCACTTTACCACTTTTTAGTACACGTATCCACTTTGCCTTTAGGGGAACTCAATTCAGACTCAATTGGGCAACTTGATGCACTAAAAAGCTCAATCTGGGAACGGCACACTGCCAGTATTTGCTTTTTGTCAAACTGCCCTTGACTGATATAACACTAACTGCAGGTTGTCTTAACCAGGGCAGATGGAATCCGGAGACTGGGACCCAAAGGATTATTCCATGTTCTTTTGAGGGTTTCTATCCAGGCCTAAATCTTGATTCCCTTGCTTTATTCTGGTTTCAGAAAGGCTCACTGATACCCTGGCTATGCACACTGCTTGTTGTCCTGAGGCGTATCCATGTCCACACTTGGAGTGTGTTCAGCCTGTGTTGCATGGCCAAGGCAGGAGCTGAGCCAAGGTTTCCAAACAATAGCAAAAGAGGGTTACAGTCACTAAAAATAAAGTGCTAAATGCAACCCCTGGCTTTAAAGAGCATTAACATGGAAAGGTCACTGTGGAAAACTTTTGTTTTAATAGAGAAGTCCCATTAATCCTCGTGGCGTTTATCCTGAGGGATCTAACCTAGAATGTTGGATTGTCAGACATTTAGCACGTGCCGCACGCTTGACACACAGGCAGAGTGACAGCAGGCAGACGCCTCACGCCTCGTGGGGGGGCCCAGCAGCATGATTTATGGGATGGGGCTGCAGCTGAGTTAGCCACCAGGCTGCATACAGCTTGCTCAAGGACTTGGGACCAGGTGGAAGGAGCCTGACTTGGGAAGACCAACACATTCTCCTGATACAGAGGGAGAAACTTAAGACAAGGGAGTGCGTCAGTGCTCCACTAGTGTGGAGCTCTGACAGACTCACACAGGCAAGTGCTTTTCCCTGGGATATAATGCAGCAGCCTCGGTCTTGGGGAATAAAATCCCATTGTTTCCCACTTGCAGCACGTGGAGCAGCTCCCGGCTGCGGTAACTTGACACTCCCCCTGCACACAGTTCCCTTTTCAGGGGGGCTTAGCAGCTGGTTTATCCCACTGTGTGGCCACTTGGAAACGCTTGGAAAAGCAGCCATCCCCAAAACGGTGAGGAGCAGAGGAGCAGCAGGAAAACAAGGAAACTCCAGGTTTCTGCTCCTGGTGCTTTCAGAGGGGATGTTGCAGTTCTGTTTGAGACAACTGTCTGTCCTTGTTTTCCTTTCTGAGCCTCCCTCAAGCCTCAGTGTGTTGGGGACTCGGCACTTGGCTCTGCAGGTGAAGGGACCAGGAGTTCCCAGTCTCCCTCAGAGCTCTAGGATCTGGTGTTTGTGAGACCCTGTAGCTGCAGGCTGTTGCCAGCCACAGGCTCTTTGGGCAGGAGGTGCTGACCCACATATCTCCCCTGGAGAGGGTGTGAGAGCACAGCTGACATGAGGTGAGGGGCTGTGGGGTCCCTCTGCTCACTAGCATGGTGAGGGGGGCAAAAGGCCTGGTGATCTCTGCTCCCACGTGCACCCACTCTAAGCTCCTGGCTTATCTGTTTCAGTGAGGCCCAGGAAGGCAGCCAGAGGCAAGCAGGGTGCAGCCCTGTACTCCTCGAGGCAGGGAAGGCACCAAAGGAAGAAGCAGACGCTGCACCCTGCGCGGGGAGCGCGGCAGCGCGCGGCACCTGTCGACGGCGCAGACATCGATGAGCTGGTAAGAGCCAAATTGCTCCCTGGAGGCTGCTCACATCATGAGTTATAAACCAAACAGGTGTCACACTTCCTCCCTCCCCTTCCCAGAGAAATACCCTGAATCCTAGTGGAAGCCCAGGCTGGGCTGGGGCGGGTTAACAAAGGAGGCATATCCTTAAGGGCCCGGTGCAAACGCAGCACAGATATGCCAGGCATCCTTCCCCAGCCGCTTTCACACATTGTCCCCTTGAGTAGCAGGCAGCCTGCAGCTTGTTAAAGGGTTTTAAATAGTATCCATATGTCTCTGCAGAGAGGTGGGGGGACAGAGGGGGTCCTGGCTGGCCAGGGAATGCCAGCAATGCTGGACCCTTGCTCCCCAGCCTTGGCCGTTTTCTGACAGTTGTTGTCCGTATGGTCACTCCCCAACCTTCAGGACATAATTTGGCTGGTTTAGGTTTCACTTGACATTTAAAGAATAAAACCATACACTCCTGCACAGAGCGGTCTGTGCATGCTGGGTGGGGGGAGCTGTGTCCCTGGGGAGGGACACACCACGAAGGATACGTGAGGATACTCCAGCCCCACAGCCACGTCACAGCCCCCTGCAGATCTGTCCCCTGACCAGCACCAGTGTGTCCTGTCCTCTCCTTGCTTGTGGTCTGTGGACTCACTGCTGCTCATGCTGGGTGTGGGGGGCTGGCTGATGGTCTGTACTACAAACTGGAGGGCAACCAAGCCAGCAAGCCCAGCATGGGCTGCCACAGCCAGGTCAGAGGGATATTCCAGCTGGGCCAGGGAAGAGTACTCTGCTAGGACTTACTGTTTGCCCTGGGAAGAGGCCAGAGCTGGGTCAGGATAGTGAGGGCCCTGTGTTGTTGGAGCCTTCCTGTCATCTGACAGCCCTTGAGCAGTGACACCCTGTGAGCTATGGGGAGGTCCCTGTGCTGGGGGTGACCTGGGGCAGGTCCCCAGGCACACAGCTGACCCCGTGCTGAGCCTGCACAGGGACAGCAGTGCTCAGGGCACCAGCTGCTCCCTGGTATTTGAAATGGCACAGTCAGCCCTGCCCTGGCAGAACAGCAGCACAAGTGCTTCTGCCTCACAGAAGGCAGGGAAAGGGAATTCACACTCTCCATTTGCTGGCATTTATTCTTTGGCTGCTTGTTGTGGCCATGTTGTCTTTGAACTTACCTTGAAAAACCTCACTGCCCCAGAGGGAGCACCAGGCTGTTTGTGAGCTCTTCCCCCTGAGCTCCTGGAACTCAAACTGCTGCTGCATGTTCGTAGAATCATAGACTGGCCTGGAGATCATCCAGTTCCAATCCCCTGGAATGGGCAGGGGCACCTTCCACTAGCCCGGGTTGCTCCAAGCCCCATCCAACCTGACATTTCCTCACAGGGGATAAACGTCCTGGTGTGCTATCACAGGGCCTGCAGCCTTGTGCTGCAGAGCTTGTGCCTCTGGGTTGTTGGGGAAGGTGGCTTGAACTTGGTCTTTGCAGCAGTACTACATGTCCCCAAATGCTGAGTCAATGCTGGCTCCTAAGTGAGAGGATTGGAAAGAAGAGCTCTAAAAACCAGCTCCATTGCCTCAGAGCTGTGTGCTGAACCCCAGAGCCCATAAGTGTTCCCTCCTTTAAACATCACCCTCTGTGTGGGCAGGTCCTTCAGACAAAGAGGACAGCACGTCGCCAGAGCCTCGAGCTGCAGAAGTGCGAGGAAATCCTCGGCAAGCTGATCAAGTACCGCTTCAGCTGGCCCTTCAGGTGAGGGCAGGTGGCCTCCTCTTCCTCCCCCGTGGGCAGGACTGGCTCCAGGCAGTGCCTGGGTGTGGGGTGGCTGTGCCACAGTCCTGCCAGATCCACTTTGGGAGACTTGGGGTTCCAAAAGCAAGTCATAGCTGAGAAGAAGCTGCTCCAGAACAAACAGCTACGTTCTCAGCTGGACTGAAGGCATGGGGCTCTTCTGAGGTGGTGGAGCAGAGGGTGGCAGGCAGGGGGCTGAAGAGGGAGTGGGTGGGTGCTCTGTAGCCCCCAGGATTTGAAGAGCACACTGAGGCACTGTGACTGAGGGAAGGTTGGATCAGCTCCCTGGGCTCCTGTCCTTCCCATGGCCGTGCCACAGGGCTGGCATGTCTGTAGCACTGTTGAAGTGCTGCTTGGGCTTGTTGCAACACTTTGGGGGTGCTGAAGGGGTTGGGGGACCCCACTCCTGTGCAGCTCAGTGCCGGCGTTCCCCTCCTATCCCTGTGGCCCTTCCTTCGGCAGGGAGCCAGTGACCACGGAGGAAGCTGAAGATTACTTTGAGGTCATCAGCAGCCCCATGGACTTCCAGACTATGCAGAGCAAGTGCTCCTGTGGCAATTACCGCTCCGTGCAGGAGTTCCTCTCCGACATGAAGCAGGTGTTCTCCAACGCCGAGCGCTACAACCAGAATGGGAGTCACGTACTGTCCTGCCTGGAGAAGACAGAGCAGTGTTTGATTGACATGGTGCACAAACACCTGCCAGGCCACACGTATGCACGCAGGAAATGCAAGAAGCTCTCTGCCAGGTGCCAGGGACTGGAGGAACAGGAAGGGGACAGTGAGTCAGAGCCCCTTGAACATTCCCGGGGGCGGAAAAGGAAGAAATGAGGGATGGGGAGACTAGGGGGAGAGCCAGAGCTGGAGCAGGCCTTCTGGTGCTGCCAGGCAGCAGGATGGGTTGTCTGGAGGGAGTTGGGAAGCAGCAGGCACTTCTCTATTAATCCAGCCTTCCCTTTGGCCCGTCCTTGTTTAAGTTTTCTGCAGTTTCCTCAAGTATTTGCTCATCCATTGAGCAGAGATGACTTACTGCTTCCTGCAAAATCCACAAAGCTCTTCATGAGTCTGACCTGCCAGGAGGGGAAGGTGGGAAGGCAAGGGGAGGGCCTGGCCAAGCCTGGCTGGGCAAGGGAACAACAAGCCTACTCCAGCTCAGGCGCTGTCAACTTCCTGGGAATGAGGCGCTTCCTCCCCTCCGCGAGCAGCCGGAGCGCGGTGGGACCGTGTGCTGCCGGTGATGTGAGCCCACCAGCCTCGAGCTGGTGCAGGGAGGGATCATGTTGCTCCAGGGAAGGACTGGGTGCCATCAGGCCAATGGGCTGCTCGGCTTGTATGTATATATTTATATGGTGTTAATTCCGAGCCCCAGCACTGGGCTGTGGGGCGAGCAAGCACTTACGTGTACGGCCATCCGGTGTTCACCAGCATCCCAACACCACTGCTCTGAGGTGCTCCTGCCTTCCTCTCTCTTCTCAGGGAGTGATCCCTGCAGGTCTCACTCTGAGGAGGGTTCTGAGCTCAGCTCCTCACCTGTCCACCTGTCCAAGAGGAGGTGGGTGGCTCCCTGCTCACCTGGAGCGGCACGCGGTCACGCAGCCCTTTGGATACCCTGAGTGCCAGCAGCAAAGTGGAGAGTGTGGGTGTCTGCACAGCCTGGAGGGAGCTCCAGGACCAGGGGAGCAGCAGAAACATGTGCTGTGTATCTTTTTAAATTAATTTTCTAGTTGAAAGTGGCTTGTTTCTAGCTGTGATCTTGTACAAAGAACACCTGTAAGATACCCTTGTCTTGCTTTGGCACATGTACAGTTTATATAAAATCGTGTTTGCTTTATATTTTCCCCCCTGTTTAAAACTCATTTTCCTACCAGTAGCAAGAGTTACACCGCAGGGACTTAGTGGGGGGTCCCAGTCCCTCTCAGCCACACTCTCACCATGTTTTGTAAGAACACCCTCCCTCGTGCTCCCCTGATCCTGTGCCATGGCCCAGCACCAGCTCCTGCCACCCCAGATGCTGACTTTTCCTGAAGAAAAGGGTGTGTTTTCTCGTCCCCTCTCCATCACGACAGGTTTGGATCGTACGATCAGGGCTTAATGTTTGTGTCCCGGAAGTGTTCAATTTGGAACAAACCAGCCACGAGGCTGCTCAGTGCTGGTTTCCTAATAGAAAAGCTGTCGCAGCTCCTGGGATTTGAGAAGAAAAGAATCATCATTCACAAACTGCAGCCTAGTTGTGTGAAGTTTTAGGGTTTTGGGATTTTGACAGGTATTTGTTTCAGTTCTGGACTGTTTATGGCTGCAGACAAGGCAGGTTTCCAGCCCCTTCCCTCTCCCCAGCCTCACTCCCTGCCCCACAGAATAGCACTGACGTTTGTATCTCGCACGTCCCTTCGAGGCTGTTTTGTCCTGTTTCCTAGAGAACATTTCCTGCAGGTCCTACATGGTGGAACCTTTGGAAGTGTATGGTTTTTTTTAAACTCAGTGTCATTTGGGGGGAGGGGGTTTCTGCTAAGGGCTGTACTTGTAATAAATTGGAAACAAGAATAAACATTATGTACTTGTGTTTGTAAACCTGACTTGTGTGAGTCTTTTGTGGGTCCCTGTCTGTGATGTCTCGCCTCTGCCTTCCTAGAGCCTCTGTCAGACATTTCTGGAGGGTGAAGGGAGAGAGTTGGGATCAGGTCAGCTTCCTATAATGCTGGTGGTGTGACCCTGTGTGTTTTCCCCCTCCTCGAGGACAAGGGACAGGGCTGTGCTCTGCCTGCCCCTGGAGCAGGGAGTAGTCCTTGTGTTGCCCACCCCTGTGGGTCCCTTGTTTCCTGTAGGCTGCCAGTGTGACACTTGTCCTCCTGCCTCCATGCCGGTGCCAGTGGGTACTCCTGGAGGGACTATAAGGGGTGATATTGTGTATGTCTCTGCTTTTTCACCCCAGCATGGCCTGGCTGCCCCCACAGCCTCTTCCCTTGTGTTGGGGTGTTTAGCAACCACGGCTGTGCTGGCAGCAAGGGCCATTCCTCCTGTCCCCCAGGCCCCTGTCCTGGTCTCCAGCAGCCCAGTGGGGCCACACAGAGCTCCAAGGGCAGCACAGCTGATGCCCCACTGCTGGTGCCAGCCTACAACTGTGACACAAAGCTTTGCCTGTGTTTCTGCCAGAGCTGCACTGCCAGGAGGCAGAAGGGATCCTGGGAGGGTGTCTTCATCTTCCTCCTCACTTGGGATCCAAGCCTGGGAGCACTGCAGCCCGGCCCAGCACTGCTGGACAGGGGAAGTCCCCATGGGTTCAAGAGGTTGAAGGCTCTTAATGATGGACAGATGCTGTTTTCCCTGGAGAAGCCTCATCCCCTCTCAAAAGGAGGTGGTTTGGCTTGTTGGCTGTGCAACAGGACCTGGGTGAATCCAAGTGTGACTCCAGCTGGGACGTTTCCAGGCCTCAGCACAATCTCACACCAGCATCTGCTCGGAGACCTTTTCAGAGACTTGCTTTTTATAGCAGCCCCTCCATGGCATTGGTGTCCTGTGCAGGGCTATAAATAGCTGTCCCCACACCTGGCAGGCCAGCATGGGGGCTGGTGGCAGCCGAGGCCCTGCTGCCACCACGGGCTGGGGGACAGTCACCAGCTCTGCTGCCTGTGGCAGACCCCAGGGGCTCCGTGACTGCCGGAGTTCTGGTGTGGCCCAGACCTGAGTTTGGCCCCTGGGCTTCCTCAGGGCTTAATCCTTAATATTAACGAATTAATAGTCTGAATAACAGGGTTTTCATCATATTCCCAGAGCACAGCAGCTTTCCTTCTGCTGCTCAGACCTGGAGGGAGTGTCCATCCCACAGCTCAGTGAGTGTTAGGGGCACAAGGCTTTGCTTCTCCATGCTGAGCTGGACCAGGACCTTGGGGTGTCCTGAGCCCTTTCCCACCCAGTGGCAGTCCCAATTTGACCGTGGCAGCCAT